CCCCCCTCCGCCCCTTCCACGTGACATACCAAAGAACGGCTGCAAGGGAGGGAGACTGGGCAACTGGGATGGCAAAATCACTCATAAGAAACCCCGACTAGGTTGACCAGACGAAATTCAAAAGTTACTTCTCAATCATCTCGGTAACCAAGATGAATTCCTTAAACGAACAGTGATTTGGCTGAAATCAGTCTTAGCTCCGTAACCAATATGAATTTTCCATGAACAGAGGACAAACTTCACCGCGTTAAGCAATCCCAGTTGCCGGGCCTCTATCAAACAGTTTTCCATTGATTCGATCAGAGATCCTATCGCGGTGTACTGATTTTGTTAGTTGCTTTGTAATCTCCAATAGTTCCTGCGTAGAAAACAGTGATATTTGAAAATCAATACCAAGATATATCTGAATGATCATGTTTCCTGGAAACTGGATTATCTTTGCAGGACATTTTTGACTGAGATCACAGAGTCAAAGGCAGCCGAAGACGATGTATTCCTTACACCCGTGAGTGATATTTTTTTTTTGCATTTGTAGTCTGAAGAAAAAAAAACAGGGTCATCCTGATTCATCTAAACAATCATCGTTCAAGAGCACATTTTCGATAATTTCTAATTCAGTGTAAGTCAACAGACATCTTTGCAAGGCTCTGAGGAATGAACCCAACAAACTTGTTAGTTTACAATTACCACTGAGAACTGCGCTGCAGACAGAAAGATAGACTGACACAGACAGACAGATAGACGCACAGACAGGCAGACTGACACAGACAGGCAGACAGACAGACAGACAGACAGACGAAGAGACGCACAGACAGACAGACAGACAGACAGACGGAGAGACGCACAGACAGACAGACACAGGCAAGCAGACAGACAAAGACACATACAGACAGAAAAACACAGATAGACAGAAAGACACAGACAGACAAACTGACTGACTGACACACTAATAGACAGGCAGACAGACAGAGACATAGACAGACAGACTGACTGATTGACACAAAAACAGACAGGCAGACTGACAGACAAACGGGACAATAGACAGATAGGGCGACAGTCTAACAGGAAGACTTACAGACTTTTAGACGGGCGAACAGACAGGCAGACAGACAGACAAACGGGACGATAGACAGATAGGGCGACAGTCTAACAGGAAGACTGACAGACTTTTAGACGGGCGAACAGACAGGCAGACAGACAGGTTTATACATGCATTTTTACTTGTGTCGACAGACATACTTTACTTATTAATTTTCGTTTACTTTTTCTAGGAGGTCCGTTATGGAATAATCAACGATAAACAGAAGCATGTTTTTGGAATACTGTTTGATGAAGTCGACAAAGATAAAAATGGTAGCGTCACACTCCAAGAACTAAAGCTACGAATGCAACCAGCTGTCACAAAACATGATATCAAACACTTTGTACAGGTATACGTATTGTAAGATAATCTGTTGACAGTGGGTTCATCTGTACACATGCATGTATAGTATACTTTGATTTTATGCGGCTAATTAGCTTTTGAATATTTCTTTTTTGTCTTTTTCGTTTTCTGGCTATTTGTCATTGTGGGTTTGTTCATGTGCTTTTCAATTTTGTTTCTAAAACCTCTCCTCGGACTTGGTGTTTTTACCATGAAGAACATAATCCGAACCTTTGGTATTCTGTAGTAACAGGCTGGCTATCACCCCCCCCCCTTAAACCGAATAGGGAATTACATGAACAATCAAGGTAGATTTTCTCAGCGATTTACCCTGAAGGATACCCACAAGTGCGATTTGAAAAATAATCGGGATGTCAATGAAGAGAGGCAGCAATACGTAAGTTACGGATTACATCAGTTTTGGTTTTAATTCATTTGTTCTCTTTGATTTATATATTAGGTGTTTGACTTAAACAAAGACGAGACTATAGATAAAAGGGAATTTACGGCCATCTGTGCCTTGAACGATCGCATAACTGGAGTCAGGTAAAGTTTTTGTTTTTACCCTGTTTCATTGCCTACTTTAGACTTTGAAGCAGTTTTCAATCGAGTCTCGAAAAACCAAAACTTGACCAAAGTAAATATAACGACCAATTGCTCGTCACGATAGCCAGTGATAACTTAAAGCTTAAAGCGTTGCAACACATGAGTGACAAAGTCGCGAATTGTGTTAGTTTTGCATCCGATTGGTTGAGAGCTCGGCGGTGGCACGAGTTTTCTGGACCAATTAAAGAGCAAAAGGAGCGAAACCTGGATTAATTTGACGCTCAAATGAAGATTGCTTTAATAATCGTTGGCTCACAAAACAAAACCTTTTCTTTTTTTTTTTTTTTTCTTTTTTTCTTTTTTTTGTTTCTGTAGAACTGAATCGGAAGATGCATCTTTGGCCTTGGACCTGGGAAACTTGGCTCAACATATCGTCATATTCAAGGTAAATAATGTCTTCGCCAGGGTTCACTATGTCACCCTGAGCTTCTTTAAAGGCCATACCTCAAAATTAAACGAAATGAAAGTACTAAATCATTTGTTTTTCGAAAGGAAATGTTCAAAACCATTGATGAAGACGATGATAACAGGGTGGATGCTGGTGAACTTCTAGTCATGGTCTCTGCGGCCATGGAAACAGAAATAGGGGCGGACCTTCAAACAGCCAAGGAGGTGCTCGAAGGAGCACGTGACGAGTTTGGTAAGTCTATGCATAGAACTCTGCATATGTAAGGATATTGGAAACTGGATTTTCTCTTATAACATTCTGTAAAAGGAGCCTCGCGCATTTTTGCCCCATTCAATTTCGAAGTTAGATAAAATCCTCACTTCAAAACCCCCTATAGTAGGCGATGTTTCTTTGGGTTTTGGGCATTCTTGTTGGTTAGTTACTGTACTTATATTTACTGTATAAAACGTGTCCCTTTTTCAGCGTAGAGAATTATGACTGTATTCGATGTCAATGCCCTAAATTTTCTTCCTTCGCTCATTTCTGAAACGGAAATAACAGTAAGCCCACACAAATACAAGTCTTCCAAAAGAAGTAGGCCTCCGAATCATAGTATCACCCTATTATTGTATTCATGATAGATACGCTCATGAAGGTTATTATTATATTATTATTATTATTATATAATTATTTTATTATTATTATTTTATTATTATTATTTAATTATTATTATTAACAATAACAATCGGTTTCCTTGTATTTGCAGGATTTATCGACTTTATCGGTTTTATGTCGTACATACCTTTCTTTGCTAAGCTTCTCCGAACCATACTCGAAAACCCTCTGTCCATTGCTGAACTAGAGCGAGCACGAGAACGAGTCAAGCTACACGACCTCACTTTCAAACCCAAAAAAAAAGCAAAGGAACCAAAGAGTTGGGAAGTGTACTAGAAAGTCTAAGTGTCCCCTTCATTCATATCCAAAGCCTGCGAGCCTGCCCTCATTATTAGAACTTCGGCACGACCGTTCTTTGTCCGCTAGAAAGTTTGAGACCTCGAGTAACGTGAGTCGGCGAAGGTCTTCAAGAGGTTTAGCGCTCACTGTTAGTACTCAATCCCCCAGCAAACTTCTTCCCGACTCGTCTCCAACCTTCCCGCGGGCGCAGGTGCGGGCGCGTCCTGCAGCACTGAAATTGATGGCCTGCTTGTAGGCTACGATATCCATGACAGGAATGACAGATTGTCGAAGTTAAATTTTAGATCGCATGGGTAGACCTCTTTCACATTGGCGTGTACCATCGCTATTCTTTTATGTTCATGTAGTTATGCTTTCTTGGAAAAAAAAAATAGCTATCGGGTCTGCCACTGATGAAGGATATCTATATATAAAGAGCTTTTTCTTTTTTCTTTTTTTTTTTTTTCTTTTTGCTGATTGTATGGAGAGTGTTCATGTAAGTTGCAGTTCATGTCACGGAAACTGAACGTTAAGAAGGTGAATCGAGTTTGGGCTTCTAATCACTGTTGTGCCCAGGCGAGACAAATTTCCATTTCCTCTATCGAAATTTGCAATAGTACTCAACCCAAAGGTGTTCTATTGAATAAAGTTGTTATTTTTCTACAGTAGGTTTTAACAACAAAATAAGACAACATGGCGTCAAATTTGATATATATATTTTAATAGACGTTTTGATGTGTAGTATCGCTGAGTATTTTTACGAGTCGTGCCGTATTTTGACGAGCCCGTAGGGCGATTCAAAATACAAATAACGAGTAAAAATACTCAGCGATACTGCACAACAAAACGTTTAATAAGAGATTTTTTATCCAGCACGCGAATTTCGCGAATATTTGTGGAGTTCAAATAGCGCGTGATATTTGTAATCGTCTCGTGCGTTATTTGTACTCTACGAAGAACATTTGGATAATAAATCGATATATTTTTGATACATATTTTTAATCAGAGCAAATATTTCATAGCAATTTTTTCATTCATGTTTTTCCTGGTCAGTTCGCAAAAGTCGGGTATCTTTTGATATCAGTTTTTAATCTCCGCGGTTTGGTAATTAAGTATATTAATGCCGTAAAGATATTGATAGTAAATAGTTATGATATTAGATGAATTATACAAATATTTAGATCTCTGGGGTTTTTCGAAACATCGTATGAACAATAACCTTGGATCAAAAATTTTGGAGCAGAAAAACATCATACGTACGCTTTTATTGTATATAAATTTTGTTTTTTGTGTGTGTTTGTTTTCTCTTCTTTTTTTTGTTTGCTCTTGGGTAATCGTATATTTTACTTTAAAAAGATGAACTGTTCCAAGCCACGAGTATCGATGACGCTGCAGGCACTGTAACTACGATTTATCGCGAAAAAGTAATAGTGTATGTAGGTATTAATGACTGTAAGAGTATATGATGTACAAAGTAGGTAATAAATATCTTTATTTTCAATTGATTGTGTTTTTCGTTTTTCTGTCCTAAATGAAGTTGGGATATCGGCTCACCGCTACTCACCATCATTGAAAATCATTTTACGTGATCGTTGATCTTAGAATAGAATAGCTCTTCGAAAGCAAAACATTTAAATTGAACTCGACTCAGCATGTAAAACAAAAAGCATTGCAATGAACCGGGCAAAGTGTTTTTTCATTATTTAAATGAAATGAAATCTTTAAGCAAATCTTTAAGCATAACTGCTTCAATTACGTTCGATATAAGCGGTAATAGTAATACACTTAAAGCATATTCTTGCTTGCTGTTGTTACCGTCTGCATATCCGGCAACGTGGCCATGGATTCCCATCCCTGGAGCCCAATAAACTGCTACTACAACAACCACGACTGCGACAATGATACAAAGTATGATTTCAACGCCACCACTTTTGCCTCACAGGTGATAACAACGTCATTTTCACTCGGCTTCTATTTTTGCGTCATTTTGATAAGTGCATTAGGCGTGTGCTTTAAGTCTGCAGTGAAAGTCTTCAGTTCCCACGCTGCATTCATTCTTTTTCTCATCGGAGCTATTATGGTCTCTTTGAATGTGCTCAACACGTCCGATAACAAGACAATCCTGTTGTGCCATCGCATTGTGTCCGCCTTTGCAGTGGGAATTGTTTTCTTCTTGCTAGGCGCGCTTTGTTTCTTTGAAAAGCCAACTGAGGCGGAGACTTCAACGCATCGTACCTTGGGGGAACACGAACCATCCAAGGGGCTTCTGGTGATTATAATAACTCTTCCCCTTACCACAACAGAGCTTATGCTTCTGTTAGGCGCCCAAGCTTCGGAGAAAGACATGCCTCCAAGACAAGAAAATTTGTGGTCCCTTATTGTGACCAACGATGCAATTTTCATTGTGCAAAAGTTCATCCAGGCTGCAGTTTACGTCTCTGTAAGAAGTTTAAGAGTTCGTGAAACTTACAGAGAAAACGCTCAGTTTTATTTCAAGATCTTGGCATTTTTAAACTTTGTTCAATGGGTGGACACCCTGGTGAATGTGGAAAGTGACTTGGTTCTCAACAAAGCAAGAATTACGTACGGCGAATGGTTTGTCGTGTTGGAACTGATTTACAAGGCGCTCACCATCGACTATCGTCTCTTGTGTTGCTTTATATTCCTCGAGCATTCGATGCAAATTCAAAATGAAACAGTGAGTGCTGAGACAGTAAACGCTGGCAGAGAAAACGAAACAGCCTGTAGAACAACGATTTACGATATGACCTATTCAGATCGCCAATACAGAAACCTTGGATTTCTTATTGGATTTTTTTCTTTTCTCTCTCCATTCAGCTGCGCCGTTTTTTATGTGCACAATCTTGACGTGCCTGTCTACGTGCGCGTTGCAATGAATTTCCTAAATGCCATTTGTATTTTTGTATGTGGGATGATTCTTTTGCTCAAGAACAGGCTTGAGATCGAAAGGAAAGACAAGGAGTCGGTGAGCGTTAAAATTATGGTGAGTACAGCATTAATATTGAAAATTGGGATAACCCGTAAATATAACACTCACTGAGAGGCAAAAGGTTTTGGCCACGGAAGAAAACGTTCAAAGAAAGGAATTATACCCTTGCTAATTACACTTCACAGAAGCTGGAAATATAAATCATTCATACAGGCGTCAGAGTGCATTCCGAATGAACCTTGTAAGACCTTGTAAAGCCAAAACCAAAATAAACACAACATCCAGTCAATGCTATATTTGCGAAGTGGATTCTAGTATTTCATAAACAGTAAATGACAGAAATGTGATTATTTTTCATCACATCGTTTCTTTCACTGGTCTTCTTGTCTGTTCACCAGGCTTGCTGTGTGGGTTCTGTTGGGTTTGCCAGTTTGATGATCGAAGCAGCTCTCGCAGAGTATTGGGCGAGCACCCAATATGAATTAAACAGCTACCATTGGGCATGCGCAGAGCTTTCGGTTCGCGGGCTCACGGCTTCTTTCTTGATGGTCATGTTCCTTCATGTGAATTCTCGCGCCTTACCCTTCAACAATCCAGATGTGAAGATCAACCACTTTCTTGTACCAGTTCTGATGCTTGGAGTTATGGCTAACTTTGCAGCGTGTTTGATTGATCAATATTTTGGTCCTCTTGAGAAAAGATTGAGGTTTGTCATTTCTCCCGTCAAGCCCAGTTCCTACCGTGTAACTAAAACTGAAATGTAGAACTACTGTCGGGGACTTTACCACCGCTTGGCCGTGGAAGATCTGGGTACGAGACTAGTTTATAGTCCCGACCCAAGTCTCACGCTTTTTTCTCTTGGCCGCTGTTAAACACTATGTTTTACTTACTGAGACGGCTACGCGATTGAATGTGTTTATTCGTGTTCTTTGCGATGGAACTTCTCTGCTTACAAAAAACAATTTCGTCACTCTCAACTTGTGAACTTGTTTTTCAGTTCTATCTGCCATATTTTGCGGTCCTATACTGCTCATTAGTATAATTTCAGAGCTGAGCAAAGAGTTTCCAGCAATCTGATTTGTCGAGCGGTTCCTTATATGACGCTATATAAACCGCTCCACGAGGTTTATATAAAATGTCAAAATAAAATGTTAATAATTGTTACCAAAATGTTATGATTTTAGAAATTTTCTCTGTTGTTCAGCTCTGAAATTATACTAAAACAATTATTCGCCTCAGGTTCGGTGAWTATTGTCGAATAATCCCCTCGACTTCGTCTCGGGGATTATTCGACGATATTAACCTCGCCTTCGGCGAATAATTGTTAAATACAAAAGCTCCCTCGTGGTTTATAAAACGAACTCAACCTTAAATTGCCTCTATCTGATTTTTTGCAGATGTGAGATTACAGAAACGAGTTTGAGGCTGCTTCATGAGGCAGGACAACCTATGTACCTGGGATTCCTAATCCACGTGTTTCTTCATTTCCTCATCATACAGACGAGAATGGGTAGGTCCAGGAGGTCCCTGGCAAGAAACGACATGAATGCGCTGTTGTTGCATTCAGATGAAACAGATATCCATCCGTGAATTCAAGATCCTGCCCATCTACTGGGCAGATCAAATGCCGTAATTACTTCATTCAAAGTTCTCGACATTATCCAGCGGATAATTCTGTGCGATCAAACTCGTTCAATAGAGAATACAATACCAAAAAAGCTCCGTTCATTTAATTTCCAACATAAACAAGGAAGTCTAACGCATAAGTAAGAGCTTCCACTAGCCGTGAAATTTGCGGGAGCACGGAGAAAACGCAACCACAACATCCGCGTCCATGTGGGGCAATTTTTCGTGCTCCCGTGTTTTCGCTTGAGAGGCTGGCGCAAGCTAATATACGCAGTCAACTTCAAGCATTTGATTGCCCGGATATCACCGAGTCGCAATTTGATTGTTCAAGAGGGTGGCCGCACAAGTGGCCTAAACCAATCACAAAGGGATTTCTCTTCACGCTCAATTGATAATTCCCGGCATTAAAGAGTTACACAAATATACTTCAAAACAAATTGTACCAGAGATTTTATTCCTCCTCGAAACGAAGGTATTTCTGTACATTTAGAACAATCAAATTTAGTCGAACTGGCTAGACCTCAATTTAGATATGACACTTCAGTAATTAATCAAAAGAGAGTTTCATTTATCCCTGATCCGGGTAGTACAGAGAAATCGAGGTACGTATACACAAGAGACAGTTACATGAAATTTCGAGTTATTTAGCTACTATTTTCAGTAAATGAAATCTGACCAATTCTAACGAAGGAAGATAATTGCAACAATTTCCTTTTTTTTTTTTGGACTTCGGCCTAGAAGTTACTTTCCGGTACCATAGTTCGCACCACCAGCCTTAGCGACAGCAGATTTTACGTGATCATAATCGAGTTCTTCCGTATCGCTTGTCAAAATTTCCACGGCAAAATTCTGCAACCAAAGTAAAAGACATAAATCAGCTGAAAACAATACTAGCAGCTAAGTAACTTGGTGGCACACAAAAAGAGTAGAGTAATTACAATGGCCAATCAGAACGAAGGAAATACCATATTCAGCCAATGAGAACAAAGTAAAAACAAGCAAACTACTAGAAGCGCGGGAAAACGGCGCGGATGCCCAAGTCGTAACTGGTTTTAGTTTTGCATTTGACTGGTTAAGAGAGTAGTAGAGATTCTCTAGATCAATTACATAACGGAGCATAGTAAAACCACAGCAATCCCAGTTTACTTTCAACACTAATTGAAAATTGCTTCATCATTTTCTGTGCATTAGTTGAGATATCAGAACAACACCCTCTAGCCGATAATTTGATCTATTCTCACCGCCCGCTGATTGAGTTGGGTCATTATCTATATTTTTTGGTGGCGAAGCCGTTTAATGTTCTTCTAGTGGCTTTTATGTTGATATTATCAAAATGTAGCCACTGAAGAGGAAAGAGGAATCAGTACAAAGTTCTCAAGGCATAGCGTCTACATCTTTGACTTGAGTGTTTTTATCTGGAGAATTTTACTTCCTCACTAATATCTCACCTGAACAACCTGTTTAACTGAAGCCTTATCTGTACTGACTTTAGCCTTTTGCATTGATGACACGCTCTCGCCTATCCATGTTATGAAGGCAAATTTGGCTCGTTTGCTTAGTTCGTCGCCAGTCTCAATGCGCACAAACCCATATACGCGTTCACTCTCTGTTGAGAGAAATTACGCGTTTTGAGAAGAAGCAAGGTTTCTACGAATTAAAATCATTAGCGCATATCTATGAGGGGGCGAAGTTAATCTAGTGCCCAGATCCTGCCGTGTAACTGTAACTGTTTGGCCGTGAAAGGTCTGGGTACGAGACTAAGAGAAAGTGTGAGGGTGCAGGGGACCTTCCGGTTTGTCTGCGAAAAAAGAGATAAATAATAACAATAATAATAAAAAATAAAAATAAAAATTAAAAAACTGGCAAACCCGCGAGTACTAGCGAGGAACTTGCGTATGACGTACACCGAGATGTACACCCTGCTCCGGTGAAGGAAGAAAAACGGTAAAGGTTTATGCCACTAGTGAGTTCGTAACAAGCAGTTTCGTGTGTGCTTTGAGGCGTTGAGCAGCGAAGACGAGAGAGGCATGAGACGGAAAAATCGCGCGCTCAAAACTGCCTGCTACGCGGGATACGATTGAGTCACGACTGATGCTCGTCCCGAGTACCTCGCAATTTCGTGACTACAATAAGTAGCTGCAACGGACTACTTCTTGCCGTTCGCCACTACACGATCTCGCGTGCACACGAGTCTTGTGCGTGCCCCCTTTCAGCTACTTTCTCCATTAGTCTCTATAAGCCTTTTACTTCCAAGATCTGCAAATCACTTTTCCATACTGTCTGCTATACATTTCTTTGTGTCAAATCAGGCAACATCCCTTTGTTGAAAGCTGGAACCTAACACTGACAGAATAAATCACTCACCGGTGAAGTGTGAACGGAATTCTTCGTAGTCAGTTCCTGATGCGGCGTGCACAATAGTCTTGTCATTATATTTATAAACAGCCCTGAAATCATACATGAAACAACGAAAGTTACAACCGTGAAACCCACTGAATCCTCCTTATTTTTGTTGACTAAGCAAGACGATAACTAAATGATAGAAACCTCCCCTCCTTTTTCTGTTCGTAACATGTCACGAAGTCTTTTGTTGTGAGGAAATCTTGTCACGACAAAGAACAAGGGAGGAAAGGCGAACTCGATCTACTACAAGTTTTTCCTTTCCGGTTAGATCAATTTTCAAAAAAGCCATTTGCCATTGCAAACGGCTTGTAACGTCATTTTGGGTCGAGAGGAGCTCTTTCAACCGTTACATTTTACATTGACGATAAGCGTTAAATTACATAGTGACTCTTGATTCTCATGCATCAGTTACAGCAGTAGCTGCTAAGATAGTACATAATGGTTGTCGATTGTTGGTTTTCGACGGAACTTCCTCACTTGATGATTTCAACAAATGAACAGAAGCACGACGGGCGACCAACGAAGTCTCGACGAGTCCCGACTGAATTCCCAGCCGTCGGACCCCACCAGAGGGTCTATTGAAATTTTACAAATTGAGTTAAAACGGTAATAAAATTATATTACACCAATCTAGAGAAATCTGCCCTTGACCTTCTATGTCTACCTCACTGCCGATCTATGAGATGCCGCACAACTCTTCCTTGGTGGGAGGGGTGGGAGGGTGGAAGCGTAAAAAAGAGACCACACGTTTTTTTTTTTTTGGCGGAGCGCGATTATGCGTGATCAGGAGCGCGATGGTGAAGTAGCGTTAGCTTCACTTGCGCTCTCTACAGAAAAATAACGCCTGATGGTTCGTTACGCTTCCCTCAAAAAGAGCGTTGCGTGACATTCTAATGAATGGCAGCGAGGGAGATTAACAACCTCCAGGAAGCGACATTTATTGGGAGCCGCTATATTTTAGCAGAATAGGAAATACCTGAATACATCTGAAGCGGTTTATTTTTCAGGCCTCTATTCTTTCACACCAAGTCTTCAAAAATTCAGAATAATAAGAGGACGGGATCTGTTCTTTACTTCTCTCAAACATGTTTAGATAACAAAGCACCTCTCGCATTCTTTGGTCACGTAACCTTCTCACTTTTATTATTATCATTTTTTTCATTTTCTACCGCAGGCAGACGAGGTTAAGGTTTTGAGGGCGCATGACGTTCAGGTATTCTATACGACAATGGACTTGTTTACTTTGTGACGGTCGATCCGGCTAGATTCAAGTAGTCGTGGAAAATGAACTTTGTAACCATTGATCCTCGGAATCCACTCTCATACTAGTCAAATGGACGAAGGTCTAAATCTGCCTTTTGTTTTTTTTTTTGTTGCTGCAAAGAGGTTTCCGAAATTTTTTGTTTTCCTCTTCTACATTTACGTCCGTGTATAAAATTGGAGGGGCGTCTGCCTGTATTTCCTCGACACTCCTTTGTATTGAGGGGCGTCTCTCATTTTTCTTTAACAACCAAGCCACGCGCAACGCGAGGCGATTATTGAAGCCGATTTTAATCCGTTTTGCACGAGCTAACAAACAACTGTTAACGTTGTTGCAACTTTCTTCGAAAGTCGGCAACGGCGTCTTGTCGTAAAAAATCGGCTCGTGTAATAGAACCCTTAGGCATACGTTCTCGACATTTTTAACAATCCCGGATAGCGCCTTGCTTCAAAAATCTCCTTAAATAGCCTGATCTTGATACCCTCTCCCAGGAAGTGTGAAAGACAAACACGGCTGCCTCTAGATAAATAATTTTGCGGTTGAAAATGCACTTCGCAAGGTAAATATTTCTACAAACAAATTTTCGAGCGTGCTTCGCAAAATTACTCACAAAAGCAATATTAATTCACCGATCATTATATATTCATCTGCCAACTCTACAGCGAATATTGATGAGTTATTTCCGTAATCGCGATTAATCTTTTAAGCGGAAATTTCGACATAAGTAATACATGACCTGCCTAGACAAATTTATTCTCAAATGTCACTCCCATTATTCACTTTTTCAAAATATATCGCCCATTCGAACACTAGGAGTAGAATGGCAAAGTGTGATAGGAAATAACTGTATTTTCTTGTCGCTTTGAAGCGCTTCGCCGCATTGCCTATCTGTCTAATAATGAAGGCGGCAGAATGCACTGCCGCAGCCTTGCAACAAGATATTTGTTTAACCGGCCGGTTTGGTTTCTCGAAGAAAAACGTTTGAATTCATTTCTACTCACCAATTTGTTTCAGATTTATCGTCCCTAACATCGAGATAAGACTGAGAGATCGCCTCTTTATCGATGGTCGCCATGGCGTGTATGAAAATGAAAATAGAGAAAAATTACGGTACCACCAAGATTCACGTGCGATTAATGACTGATGCGAACCGAACAAACGCCTTTCGTTAAGTAGTACAATTGGAGTGACGTCACTCGATAATATGTTAATTGTTTGTTGTACCGCATTAAATCATCATGAAATTTAGGTTTCGGTTCCTGATAGAGCCACAAATATTCAGCAACTGGACATCCGGGATTTTATGACAAAAATCAGTCAAAGAAACGCTACATGTGAAAGAATTGAAGCACGGGGCTAAAAAAACCGATCTTATGTTGCGTGACGCAAAGGAGACTTAAATTTTTTAATAGTCATTTCCCAGCGGTTGGCGTGACAGAAGCTTTTTGATTCTAATTGATTTTAATTAATTTGTGATTAATGAACTTTTTGAAATTTCAAGATTATGACAGAAATTTCTCTAAACATTAGAACTTTACATATTTGGACAAGCTTTTATATGCTTGAGCTAGGCTGTTTAACAGTCACTTCCACCCCCCTCCCCCCCCCAGGAAAACTAGATCTTTCCTGTGGTCAATGAGTGGATGTGTATAGTCTGCATTTTGTCTAAACGTGAGACACGTTTCCGGCAGTTCTCACAGCCTAAAAGTTTCAACATCCAAACGATTTTGACGAGTTTCTATTGGCCAATAGATGTGGGAAGATTTTTTTTTTAGGAGCTTCCAACCGCATAATCAAAGGCACGTCATTCCTGGTTTTCCGAAGTTGCGGGGTTATTTTTACTAGTGGTGTATGTCATCCCCGTTTTTATTAATCTTATATATTGTGAGTCTGTTGCTGAAGTCAGTACGAACACGCGATGAAGATCAGGAATTTATGTCATTTTTCTCCCACCCCCTAAAAAAAATTCTGTTTTCAGGCCTCTATACAAACATCGCGCCTGTTCGCAGTACGCGAAATTTTGTTTGTTTTGCCAAAAAAATCTGTCAGCGCGAAACCATTTTCAGTACAAACGATTTTATTGACCCACCAAAAATTTTCGCAAGAGCCGCCAAACGCAGAGATGCCGTCAACTAGGTTTGGAGGCCTGCAATTTTTTGTCGGGCGAGAAAATCTATTGTCCCTTGACATACTCTTCAACTGGTCATCATATTTCGTAATTGAACGTTGCGTTAGTAAGGTGTCGAATGACTCTCTCTCCATTTTCGAATATCAACGGGAAAAGGCTTCAGGGAAGTTACGATTTCCACAAGGGGCCCACACAAGCGGCGTGTCTGGTCGTTTGTTCGAAATATAATGAAATGTATGGGAGAATATTGAAGAGTCGTAATATCGTAAACTTATATCAAGGAATGTCTATGTTAAGGCTCAAAAATAAATGTAAACCTACCTCACTTGCTGTGTATTGTCGTTTCTAAATGATGGCGAATTTGAGCGATTTGGTAGATTTTGCGTTGAGTGTTACTTTACTGTATAAGGACTTCTTATACAGTAAAGTAATACTCAAGGAAAATCTTCCAAATCGCTCAAATTCGCCATCATTTAGAAACGACAATACACAGCAAGTGAGGTAGGTTTACATTTATTTTTGAGCCTTAACATAGACATAAGTTTACGATATTACGACTCTTCAATATTCTCCCATACATTTCTTTATATCTCGAACAAACGACCAGACACGCCACTTATATGGGATGTTACGAAAACTAAGACCCCGAAAACTAAGACCCTGAAAACTAAGACCTAAGACCTAAGACCCCGAAAACTAAGACCCCGAAAACTAAGACCCCGAAAACTAAGACCCCGAAAACTAAGACCTCGAAAACTAAGACCCCGAAAACTAAGACCCGCCATCTTTTCATTGATTTTACACTTTTCCGGTGGGTCTTAGTTTTCATAATTACGAAAGTTCATTACGAAAACTAAGACCCGATCTCATTTTTCTTGTTTATCAATTTTTACTCTATCTTGATAAATAGAATATGTTGAAATGCAAAAAGCGAATATTAGACAGCAATTAAACACCCCGTCTGATTTCAAACCAGGATTGTACAGGTCGACGGCGGCATAGATGCTTGTTGAACAACTTAGTTAAAGTCTCCGTGATCCGCAAAAGCCAACCCTTCCCAACAAAACCAAAAGCAATTGTTGACTAACCACAATCAGGGATTGCATGGCAAGCAAACAGCAAAGAAGGACGATTAAAACATTTCGCGGGGGCATTTTTCCGGCTTGCGATCAGTCCTTGACCAGAAAGGACGTAAAAAGAAATCGCACTGTCACGAAATCTCGGTATCTTTTTCGATTGATTGACATTAGCAAAAACGTTAAGTAATAAACTAGAAAAGGCAAACCATTATGGTCTAAGAACAGTTTTAAACTTAAATAACTCAGTGTCTTATGAATCTGCCCTTAAATCAATCGACATGAGATCATTATCAAATAGACGCATAGAACAATCGCTCGTCATATTTTTTAAATGCTTCAAGAACAATAGCCCAAATTACTTTAGCAATTTTTTTAAACCCCGCATTCTAACTTATAATTTACGTAACAGAGGCCATAATGTTGAACAGAAATCTTACAGTACTCAATTCATGCACAACTCCTTTTCACATATTATTTTTCGAATTTGGAATCAGTTACCTTCGTCAGCAAAGTCTGCTGAAAATGTGTCAATTTTTCGTAGATCAATTAGCAAGCTCGATTTTCCCGGTTGCCAATGCAACAATTGTTCAATTTGATATTTATCATTTCCAACGATTATTCTCAGCATTTGTTACCACCATATAAATTGCATCATTAATTAAACGTAAGATCAATGACATTCTTTAAGTCTAACGCACGGCATTCACGGAAAACAGCTTTAGTGTTATAGTATGTAGTTTTAATTTTAAATATCTTAGCGTATGTGATATGTAATTTTATAGGCTGATGAACTGATCGTGTTTAAATAAAGATTAAATAAAATAAATAAATAAAATAAATCAACTCATTACATTACATATTATTTATAATGCTTTTCATATTTTCTCTGTCAATCACTTTTGTCATTCCACTAATTTATTCGTGTTTTTCTCGTTGCCATGTTCCCACCCATCACGTAGCTCCTTTTTCTGCCTTTAAAAGCACACACAACCCACAATTCCCCTATTCGCTCCGACGAAGGGCTAACGCTCGAAACGTCAGCTTTTATAATCGTAACGGTGGCCAATTTACCATTGCAACTTTGTTGATATATTCAAACTTTTGTCATGAGCCTCTGGCTCGGGAGATCTGGGCAACCACTCCCTGTGTAATTGACTTTAAATAAACTATTACTATTATTATTGTGGTTACCCAAATAATTCGCACGTCTCAGTGCGAACGCAACAACAAAAATAGGTCTGGAATGCGTACATGTGCGGCTTTCGAAATAGAGCTGCTTTTTAGTGTCTGGTGTCTTACTGAGTTTCTGTTAGAGGAGCTAATAACTGATTACAGCTAGATAGTATTCTATGTCGTTCCTGTTTATTTATAAAACAAGATAACCAGCATACAATAGTCCTGAAATGTTCATTTTCAAGGTGAGGGTTAATGGCCAAACTTTATTATGGAGCTCTCATTTTGACAACAAACACCCCAAGGATGCACATGCAACCTGAGGATTTTATGAACTGAAAAAAAACGTCACCATCATCTCTAATGGTGGCCTGACAGATTCAGTCATGATTTTGTTTACGTAACAAAGTGGAACTGAGTTCTGAAGTTTGTCGGTTGATTGTCTTTTCCAAGGCAAGTGATGTTAAATTAACTCTAGGGAAGCATTTCATATGAATATATTTGGCATTTTGTGTATCATTACACAAATGAAAAAACTTTCCAGAAGGGTCGAGATATTTGGGAAATGATGTATTCTACACTAGAAGCCATTGGGAACTTGATTTGGTTTGAATGTATGACTAATTTTGGACAAAACATGCATGTTAAGTAACACAATGCTGAACGTAAGTTTCTATTCTCCATTAAGGCACTAAGTTCTACTCTCAGTTGGTTGAGAGCAAATCATTTGCTATAATTATTGTATTTGGGTTTTGTGGGACTGTATTCTCAATAAAGAACAAAGAAAAAATTCAGTTGAGGTAAGTGTATATGGGGTTGTAAATGGAAGAAATCAGGGAAAAAGGATAGGTGCCTAACAAGATCAGGACACAAGTAATATTTTAATGAATCATATGTTATATGTTGAGTAGTACTCTGAAGTGACATTACTTTAACATTGCTAATAATTTTTAACCCAATAAGATTTACTATTGACCTGGAGGTTTTAGTTAACAGAAGGTTCAATAGAGATAGAGTGTCACCATATGCATAATAAATTTCTGGAACCATAATCAGAAACATAACTTAAACACCACGGAGTTCAATGTATAGGCAAGCGCATGATGGTATCATATGATTTAAAGTACCAGAATCTTTCAAGTTTTCTAATTATTGATATTGTTATTCGTGCCAGTGTGTTTCCCAAATTTAAGTGGAGACATGAAATGAATAGGTGAACTTCACATCATCATGTAAATGGTCAACTTGACATGCTATCAAAATTTGTCCTTCAGCTGAAATCTTACTCAGGAATGCAATTTTTTTAGTGTTTATCAATATGCATAAAAATGTCCATATTGTTCGCTTAATAAAAGATATTCTATATGCAAGGCTAAAAGATTAGGAAAAAAATTATTAAAATGTTTAAACCAAACGTTTTCGGCTGTTTTCCATCATCAGGGTTGAAAATAATGACCGTCTGTACATACAAATATATCTTATGTGATTCCCGATAGGAATGTCTCCAAACTGCACAAGCTGCAGTTATAACACAAGCCAGGTCTGGGTGTGTTGGTTTGTGTGAGGAGCACTAACTTGTGATACGATCACCAGAAAAAAAAAATACTCGAAACCATACTTGCAACCAAAATGACTGACTCAGACTAGTGCGCCGGTCGACACTAGACCACGTGACAGGCGCTTGACTCTCTTGGACAAATAAATAAATAAATAAATCAGATCATGCCATAATATGGGGCTACACAATTGGTGTAAGCCACACAAACACAGAAAATTCGTTGTTACAAAATATTCAAATTTTTTGCAAATACTAAACCAAATTTTTCGGTGAAGTGCGAACAGGGCCATATTTGGGAGTTTTGTAAAATTTTAGAAAATATCAAGTTGTCTAAAATATTGATAAATATTTAGAAACGTTTCTACCATTTGTTATCTAGTTTCCTGGTGAGTATCGTTCGCTAAGACAGTTTCCTACTGAATTTCTTATTCAATGAATTGTCAGCATTGCTGCGAAGATGCCAGCTGCTCAACCATCAAAAATAGCTACTTCATGTTGTTATGACAGCTGTTTTTATCGTTCTAATTTAAAGATGATCTGTCACACATTGTTCCAACTCCCCTCAAGAAAAAAAACGTGATTTTATTTTTCTTTTTATTATTTGATTTTTAACAAATATAAGAGATATTCTCGAGATATCAAGAAATTGTTATGCAATTTGCAGAGATCTGCTTTCAGGATTTTGATGAAAATAGATTTTGGGAGTACTCGTTTCGTGCAATTATGATTAGAGGCCCCCTGGCTTGTCCTTCAACCTCAAAGCAACTCAAGATGAACAATGAGCCGGCCTCAGCACAAGTCAGCAGAAATAGGAAATGACATTCCCGGATGTGTTCTTTTGGCGGGAATCATAATCTTGAAAGGAACAAAGAACAACAAAGCGAAAGCGAGTTTCTTAGTCAATCATCAACTTATCATTAATTTTCAGCTGTGAAGCTGCCAGGGTACGCGAAATTAACTGATAAACGGATTCATACACAATCCATCAGGTAGTGATTGTATTTCAGAGAACACTTTTTACTCGTTGCGAGGAGTGATTCATGTCTGAACGCATCTTCGGTTGATAGCGAAAGGGCTCAGTTTCAAAAGAGCGTCTTGTTTACAGCTTGCATAATTTTCGATTGCGAACGGGTAGTGAAGAGTAAGTCTCATGGTGTTTTGCCAGACATTGTCAAATAATCAATTGGATTTAAGAAACAGCTACCGTACTGTAAACTTATTTGTTTCGTTCTGCGCTGTCGAGTGATAGCTTGCGCTTTTATACTAACAATTACTTTGCTTGTTAGCAATCCTATTTTCAAAGTTTCAGAATTTCGATTCAAAGATACAGCTCTGTTTTGCTTATTAATTGAGGGAAGGGCCAACGTTCAATGTCTTCAAACTTAAAGAGAAAAAAAAATTATCTCTTGCTTTTTTTGTTTTTTCACAGCTGTTACCCGCGATGACCATTTTCATAAATAGTCGTAGTTTAACCAATTGATTATTTTCTTTCAGCGCAATCAACATGGCCGCTCAGAGGAATCAATTCTCTAAACGTTTAGCTGGAATCAACGCTTCTCCGAAGACACCCAACAACACAATTTTGACGGAATCAGAACCTTTGTACGTAACTCCTCAGAACGCGATTGACTCAGAGATAGAACCAAACACTCCGCTCAAAGTAAGCTTATATGTGTTTACTTGGTATATTAACTTCGAAGTGCCAAGATGATAAATTTTTAACCGGCTCATTTGGTGATCATGACCGTAAAAATTATTCCTCAAGTCGTATTAATGAATTTGCCTTTTAGTTGGGCTCCCATAATAAAAATAAATTATTGGATAATTTCGTTGTCTTTTAGAAGCCTTAATTTCGTAGGCTAAGGAGAGCGCTTTGGATTTTGTCTCGGAAGTAGAAAAAAATCTCAGGCAATAAAATTTTTGGAAAATTTATATGCAGCAGCAGGTTCCATGTAAGGCTTTCTTTTGTTTGTTTTTGTACAATTAGTCACTCATTGTTTTACGTTAAAAATCACGTTATCACATTACAAATCTTTGGGAGGTAAATATTTTTTTATTAAAACGAAACTTTTAGTTCCCAAGAAACAAGAAAAAGTTGTGTATGGAAGAGCAAGGTTTATTAAGGAAATGCTATGGCTTTGGAAATGTACACAGCAATGATGACTTAATTTATTTTTCTTAGAATAATTGTTGCTATACATTCTCTCTTGGTATAACATAATGTAAGGATTTTGCTGGTCTCTTAGCAAGCAATATGTCTCTCTGGTGGAAAATATTGATGTGTTGCATATTTTCTGTCCAAGTGTTTCGTTTATTCTGTGCAGTCCTATTGATTGTAATACTTGATTTGTAGTAAAATGAAGTATTTGGTGTCTTACCATTCTCAGGATTCCATAAACACCTGCAAAAAAAAATCAGGAAAACTAGTTTCTAAACGAAAACTTTTCCTGCAAAGTGGCCAAAGTTCTCCTGTGAACAAAGGTACAGCATTGTACTTAATTGTTTTTATTTTACTGCCCACATAAATAATTAATGGAGAACCATTTCTTAGCCAAGTAATTTTTGTGAAAAAAAATTGTAATAGAAACTTTATTCCTTTTTTCCTCAAATAAGCACCCAGGCACTTATTTAGAATTTCAGATAAAAGGAAGGCACTTATTCGAGGAACGGCACTTTTTTGACATTGTAGCCTTCACGGTGGACCTTTATTAGAGTACAGATGCTTGTTCAAGAAAATATGGTATCTTGAAATAAAATAGTTTGTGAAATGTATCAGTATAAGAATCTATACACCATAATTAATCATAAAAATCAAAACTTTTTTGTATATTTGTTTGATGCATTTAAGATAGAGGATAACTAAATCATTGGGTAATATCAAAAATGTAAATTGGCCAGCATAAAGAGTTTCAAAGTTGATGTTCGAGCTTGATCCCTTTGTTATTCGCTCTGATGAAGTGCTAATGCTCAAAACATCAGCTTTGAAACTCTACGGTGATTAATTTACGTTATCAACTCACTTGATATTACCCAATTATCTTGTTATACTCCCCAACCGAAGCAGCATCACAGTTTTTACGGAAACTTACCCCCTTTGTTAAGATAGAGGATAGGATAGTTGACCTATGGTTAAGAGCTCTAATCTCCCACCTTGGTGACTCTGGCTTGATTCCTGCATCTAGAATTTAGCACAGCTAACCTGCAGGAGTGCCTCTGCTAAATCCCAATAAATATAATTTTACCAATTTATTTAGTGTTAAAAAAAACCAGTAGATATGGCAACTATTTTGGGGGTAGCATGAAAAGAGAAAAATGTAACTCTGATCTGGATTGTAAAGTTTGAAAAACATTTGATTTAGCTGTTTTAAACTGTTTTGTTAATAGCAAAAAGACAGGCTACTCCAAAGACTCCAAGTGCTTTTCCTCTAAGCTCATTTCCTGCAGACAGCTCCAGACTAAATTTTCCATTGACAGAACGCCAACAGTTGCAATATCTCCTTGAAGTAACAGCCAAAGAAGCAAAACAAGAATCTGGATCTGGTAACAACAACAGTGATAAAATACCAATTCTTTACAACAAGACAAATGCTAAGAAAGATGTGAGCAAGGAAAACCATATTGAGACACGGATACGAAAGAGAAATGAGCGTGGAGAAACAGCACTGCATGTTGCAGCAATAAGAGGAGACTTGGAGGATGTTGTTGCTTTGATAAAAGCTGGAGCATTGGTAAATGCCAAGGATAATGCTGGTGAGTGTTTAACACCCAGGCTGTTGAATTGAGTTGGTAAACTTTTGGCTCAGTTGTCATAGGGAGAAAGTTGTGACCAAAAAGATGATATCTTTATTCAATGAATAAGAGCAAATTTACCACTTTTCTTGTTTTATTCACATACACAAGACTTTTGACTTTGGATAGAACTATACAGATGGTTAGTTTCAGCTTGGTAATAAAAAAGAGAATTATTACCGGTACATGCTTTTTTTTTTCAAAGCTAAAAATTCACTATCTCACCTATTCTATCTACATAGAGAAAAAAGCTGTTTGGAAACTTGAAAACTGGCTATTTGATTTTCATATCTGAGCAAGAAACTACTGCAGGAGAGAGGGGAACTGTGGTTTGGTACAAGCACAAAGTTTATCAGTGATACTATTGTTTTTAAGGGTGGACACCACTCCATGAAGCTTGCAACTATGGTAACCTAAGTATCGTCCAGGAATTAGTTCAGGGTGGTGCAGAAGTGAATAGTCCAGGTTATACAGCTATTACGCCATTGCACGATGCTGTTATCAATGATCATGTGGAGGTTTGTACTCTGAAAAATAGAAAATAATACATGGGCACTAATGATATGGATTTTCTCTTTGAGTGTTCCCTAAGTGAGATATAGTGTTGAAAATGAAAAGAGAAATTCTATATCTACAAACAACCATGTAATATTTTGTTTATTTTATAAACTCTTTTTTGTTATTGACAAGGCTTACTGATGCAAAAAGTCCACTAAGTTAATTATTGAAAAAAAGAAGGGCCCACAACCTGCTAAAAAAAGTTCTAAAGTACTTTGGTGATAAGGTTCAATAAAAAAGGCATCAATTGATTACAAAATCGAACAATGGGCATAATTTTCAATTTACAAAATTCTCATTTATCGATGTTTTCTATACTGACAGAAGAAATCTCCTCAGGTACACAGCCAAAATCAGCCTGCAGCAGATCTACCAGTTGTGGATTTTCATTCTTAGCAATGAGAAATGCTATTACCAGAGCCCCTTTTCATAATTTGGTTTCTTCTGTAGTTAGGAAACATGAAAGTCACTCTCTGTAAACAATGTGAATTTTCCAATGTCTTTAGCAACAATAATCCCAAAAGATTTTGATAAATGACCTTGGGTTGAGATGGGCAAATGCTTTGCCGTTCATTCATCAATCTGACAGTGGCATTCATTTATTTTTCTTATACTTGTCACTTCTTCTACTTGTCACTTACCATCACTGACAAATCCATATTATTATGCAAGAAGGTTTTTTGCAAGTAAAGTGCATTAGTACATGTAAATAGGCTTTTGATTGTTGCTTTTGTAAGTTGGGGGAGAAATGTTGAGATGGTATGTTTATTTAGGATTGAGAATGAAGTTTTTGTTTACCCCAATTTGCTTTGTTTTACAGGTTGTTAAGTATCTCTTAGAGAATGGGGCAGATCCTAAGCTCCAAACATCTCAAAACTACAATGCGCTCACCTTAGCAAGATCTGAACAAGTTCGCTACTTGCTGAGTCCAGAAGAAAGAAGAGGAAATGCATACTCAGTTGAGTTCCAAGAAAACGTTGCTTATTTGCAACACCGGGATCCTAACTTCAATTTATCTGAAATCAAAATCAATGGATTGAGTACCCCTTTCATTCAAAGAAACAATGGTGAGGACACATTAGTTGATGAGATGGAAACACAAGGCTTTAAAGTGCTGTCATCCCAAAGTGTTTCAGTTCAGAATCCTAAAGATATGGAAATGGACTTACATATAACTCCACACAACACTTTTGGAGTCAATGGAGGAAACTGTAGCAATAAACAAAATTTATATTCTCAGCAATTTCCAGCATTTTATGAATTTCCTGGAAATACTTACCATTGCATCAATGAAAGAGAAATAAGCAAAGAAAGAGAGGCAGTTTTTAGGAGATTGTCGCCAAAAGAAGGTGCAGGAAGGAATGAAGATTTTCCAGGTAGAAGTGATTATGCAGGTTGGCCTTTTCAGAGGCCTCTTTGCCACACTGTTGTTGCAAAAGAGCCACAAGGCAATGAAAATGTGCAAGGTGTAGGTGCCAACGAAATAAGTCAGTCTTCTGATCTTGCAACTCTTAGTCCTCATTTAGATGTGAAAGAAGAGGTTTGTCCTGAAGAGTCAGAGCCACCCATTGCTGGTGATCCTGGCCTTATGAATATGAAACAGTTGACTACCAAGAATCTTGGTCTGCCTGGGACATCACAATTTCAGGAGGACGCTGTTGTACCAGAGAAATTAAATGAGTGTCTTGACAAGGCAATGATTGAGATCTCATCGTACCTAAAAACCAGCCAAAAGTTAGATGTCAAAGCATCATTTGATGAAAGAGAATTAAAGACAAATGATAAAGATGAATCAAAAACATATACATCTTTGAACAGCAAGGATTTGTTAAATGGATTTTCTGATGTGGACTCGCCACCAAAACCTGCCTCTGTAGATCCTGCCTCAGAGCTTGGTAATAATGATTGTCATCACAAAGAAAAACCATCAATGGATCCTTCCCTTTCCAAAACAACTGAGCCTAAAGAACATGGGAAAACTTTACCACATCAAGAATTATGCACTGAAGAAACTGAAGGCAACATTGTTGATCAGCAACCAAATGCCAATTTCACAAAAATTAAGACAAAAGGTGACAGAAAGAAGGATGGTGCCATAACAGAAAAAGGTACAAGGTCTATCAGAAAGAAGAAGTCATCAAAATCTTCTGATGTAACCAATAGCCACTGCAGTCATATCAAAGAGGAGTGTACAAGTCACATTCAAAATTCTTCCTGGAGGTCAGACCTACCTAAATACCGTTACAGCATATCCACCTTACCATTACGTATCCCAGGTTATGAGGATTTCCTCATAAACAGCAACAACAGTGAATCAAAATCTTTATCAGATAGGGTAGGCCACATTTTCCTAAACATCTTTATAACATAACCAAAGTAAAGCGCACACTCTGATTGGTCAATTTAGCGTCCCCCTTTTGCCCATGGGTGTACGCTGCTGACGTGAGCAAATGTAAAGACTATTTTTCCGTGCGCGCTTGTTTTTTCTGGTCACGTAAGATTTGTTAAATAAAAGGGAACTCTTTAGCTACAATGTATCAATGTTATGTTATAAAAACAAATGGTAAACACCACAGTGTACACTATTGATTTATGGATGCACTTGGGAGGTTTGCTAAGCACTCAAGAAGCTAGAGTCGCTCTCGGCTATCGCCTCGAGCGACTCTTACACTTCTTTCATGCTTAGCAACCTCCCGCGTGCATCCATAACTCAATAGTGTACGCTGTGGTGTTTACCATTTGTTAATTTCAGTCTGCCCAAATGACTTTGTTGTATATAAAATAGAACTTATCTTGGTGTCAACTGCACAAAGCAAGAAGGACCAGACTGGATTGAATGCTAGATCAGGACAAATGATCCCCATCATTCATAAAGGTCCTAAAGCTATCATTTTCCCTGCTGAACACTCAAACCTATACTATGTCACTCTGAGGAATTCTAACAACATCTGTCTCTCCTGTAAAGCTACATTACAAACAACATCAATTAACATGCATATTTTCATTCACACTGCTCAGAATTTGATTGTTCATCAGAATTACTATTCTTCTTCTCTGTTCTATGTTATTGTTGTTATTAAAAACGTATACATTTATGTGCACGATCCTCACAGTAAAGAGCACTATTTAAGCAATAGTGAAAATCAGACCTGAAAAAATTTAGGCATGTACAGGATTTGAATCACTGACCTCTGTGATACTAGTGCAGCGCTCTACCAATTGAGCTAACAAGCCAACTGACTTCAAGATTTTCTCAATTGGTAGAGTGCTGCTCTAGTATCGCAGAGGTCAGTGGTTCAAATTCTGTACAGGCCTGAATTTTATCAGGTCTGATTTTCAGTATTGCTTAAATAGTGCTCTTTACTGCGAGGATCGTGAAAAAATACGTTTCTATAACCGCAGTTCAGATAATTATATGAATTTCATATATTCGTTGTGTTTGATTGTTATTATTATTATTATTATCATCATTATTGTTATTATTGCTATTATTACATAAGCATTATCATCATCATCATTCCATTTTTTACTTTGTTCAGCAGATCATGGCTGATTCAACATGGGGAAACCATTTGACAAGGCTATTGTCTCAACATGACACGGAAAAGGTAACTTGACTTCAAAGATTTTCTCTCTTCCAGTTTTACATTATTACAATCAGTGTCAAAATTGGATTACACATGTCAGAAGAGTTCTGTTTATGGGAAGAATAACATTCTTGTTTCTACCCCACTATAAATCATTAACAGTGCCCCTCCCCAATTCAATGTTGGCTAAAAGTTCATGGAATCACAATACAACATTGTTTTGGGGGAGGGGGTGAATGGGTTAACTTTACGAGGGCAAAAGAGAATAAATTGAAGTAATAAGGGTTTGAAAAGGTCAATGTGTGAACGATTTTATCACTGATTAACGAAGGCAAAAGAGAATAAATTGAAGTAATAAGGGGTTGAAAAGATCAATTTGTCAACAATTTTGTCACCGATTGTAGGTCTACAAAGTTAATGCTGTTGCCTGGTCACTGACACAAAACTGACCAATCCGATGACTGACAACGTACAAACTCCTCGTCATCTTTGCTTGCCTTGGCCCTTTGCACCGATCGGCACATTTGAATTTAGCTGGAGTGAATAAGAGTACATGTTTTGGTTCTTCTGTCTACTAGGTCAAGCTGCGCATGACTTTAGAGCAAGAGTTGGTGCGGCTGTATGGAAATGTTGCTCGTAAATCAGCTGGACATCAAATCCCATACAGTGCATGTGCGGTGATTTCATCACAGATGCAAGCTCCTGGAATAAAGGTATTTGTCATAATCCACGCAATCAAACCGCACAACTTCGTTTTCGTCGGGCCATGTATAGACGTCTTTTTTAACGAAAAAGGAAAAACAAATAGATAAGCTTGATTAATTACTTACAGCTTAGTGCAGAAAAGGAGCCGAATATACCCATCAAACCTGAGTTGGACAAGATTTTCAACAAGTTCAACGGGCTTAAGGTAAGGCCACGTTCTACGAATGCCTATAATAGCCACTATACGTTTTATGCATGTACTATTCCGTTGATATTCTTGAAGTTTTTGCTGAAAATCAACTTCACAAGGTCTGAATTTTCTCCTGTGCGATTTGTGTGTGTGTGTGTGTGTGTTTTTTTTTTTTTTAGACGCAGATGCTGAACCGGCATAAACGAGAAATTGAAGTGATCTTCGCATCAGAAAGTTTATGGAGGAAAAATAAAAGTAAGAAGGGCACTGTCTTTACTACGAGTTTTTTTAATCGCAATAATCAGCTGCTTACACCCGAAGGCCTTGTCAGTTGTGGCATACTCATGCACATGTAATGTTTCATTTTCCCTTTTTTTTATTATTATTATTTTTTTTAAGTCTTCCCATTATGATGTTCTACTGCTCAGGGTAATTTCCAGTCATGATTTAACTACCCTGTCCGAAATTCCTAAAACCCCTTACCTTAAATGTGTAACATTCATTACTTACATTTTTAGCTGTTAGTAATTTGAAACTTTCCTGTTGCTTTCCCGCCAAAAATATGCTACACGGACGATAGCTCCAGTTGTTTTCCAGCAAAATCTGTTACACGAAAGATGGCTCCCGTTATTTTCCCGCCAAAATGTGCTACACGAAAGATGACTCCCGTTGTTTTCCCGCCAAAATGTGCTACGGGAAAGATAGCTTCCGTTGTTTTCCCGCCAAATGTGTTACGCCACAGACAGCTCCTGTTGTTTTTCTACCGTGATGTTTTGTAATTTCCCTTCAAAACTTTGCACATGCGTCGAACATCTCTTATCAGCCCGGCTTTCAACGACTCTTTTTTTAATACAAGCTCTCAACTAATTTCGTGTCTTTTATGGTTTTGATTTAGCTGAGGATAGTAAATGTGTGACAAAAACTGGGATGTATGTGAGCGAAGACTTTGAACTTCTGCCTCCCAAGTTTAGGGATTATTACGAAGAGGTTTTGTGTGCTATGGACTGAACACAAACCAACCGGAGAACGGGAAGGAGTTGAAAGCTGACAATGCAGTAGGGAGACAGTGCGCGCCTTTTCGATTTACTCAAATTGTTAACTGTAAACATAAAAATCCAACTCAAGAAAACAACAAAACTACCCTATCCATTTCTGTGTACCTTTCTATTTTACTTAGCCCGCTTTCTACAAATTATTTTCTATCATCCATATTATGATGTTTTCCCTCAAAGGGAATAGTAAACATTTGTAAATGAAAGTGTCGTTGAGTGGGTAATAAAAATTGTTAATGAAAACAAGCGCCAAAACAGCTTGGTGAATTGTCTTACCCTCCTAGCTCTCCTCTTAATCGCGTCTTTCATGCTAATTCTTTGTCTAGTCTGAGGTGAATTTGGATTCGTGAGAGTTCACAAAGGAAATAACTATTAAAGAAAAGAGAATGGCTGTCCCCGTATAACTCACAATTGAGAGACTTCAATGAGAGTGTACCTCGAGCAGGGCGAGTGCACTATATTATCTCGGCGAAAGTTATGGCTGCCATCTTTAATTTTTATAGCAGCGGAAGGCCGAGAAGAGGAAGAAGTTTGTACCGAGGGGGTGAGAAACGGTCAAAAAGAAGGAGAGGGGAGGGAGTGGGGCAATGCCCTAACTCCAAATCAAACATGGCCGGTTGAATAAACTATCGCGAGCTTCTTAACGTTAACTTGGTCTTATAGGACGCCGGCAGGAAGTTTAAGTGTCATGTTCCAGTATTAAGGAAGTAACGTGCTTGTGTCAGTAGGTATGCCGTTACTTGATGTTAGAACGTTGTTTGATCCCAAGAAAAAGCAGTGGCCAAGTTGGGTGGGAGGGAAATTAAAAAAAAAGAGTGCGCCTGTGGTGTTAAAATGTCGTCAGACTCATAACTGAGCATTCGTCTCTATCCAGTTCTTTGCTTTCTGAAGGAGAGGGCGACCAGTGGGCAGTGTAATACGCTCGGTAGAAAATTTGACCAGTACACCCAGTTCTCTTCTTAAGTACTTCCTAAGTTGGAGATCTGGGAATGAGATTACCGTTGCATTTTTTTTTTTTTTTTTAAGACTTACTCACAATGTTCTACTTTTAGTCTTTAATCTGCTGCGTTTATTTCTCCCTTACTCGTTAATTTGATCCCTGGTAATGTAAAATACTACTGAGAGCTTTTGAATTAGGACGTTCATAAGGATTCTAATAGTCCTCAGTAGGGCGTCTCCACTTCTTCCACGATGATCCTACTCACGGAGTTCCAACCAGTGTAGGCGTTCCCTTGTTTGGATCCAGCGCAGGCACCCACGTTTAACCCTACTAATACGTTGCCCTTTGGAACCCCTGAGCAGTAGCCCACAATGGTAGCCGCGCGAATTATGTTCCACGCGCCTCCAGAGTAAACCGCTGTATCAATTGGCATGGAGCATTCTACGCCGTTAAAGGTGAAGAACCAGCGGCGGCAGGTTCGAGCGGTTATAACCCGCATATTTCCCTGGTAGTAAACTTTAAGATGTGTGTTTTCCTTTTTCTTTGTAATTGAGCACTCCTAAAAAATTGTAGAGAAAAGACACGGAAGGTACATCTTATATATTGTTCATTAAAGATTTGTTTGTTTGTTTGTTTGTTTTTATCTTGGTCACGATGAAGAGTAAATATTTAGTAGTTTCCCTCACAACATAGAGTTACTTTCAGTTGAAAACCAAGTATCACATTCAACAGTCAAACCGCTGGTATTCTTCACTGAATGATTACGCAGTGCAATATTACAGAGTTTCCAATAGCGCATGAAGCCGGAATACAAACAAATATAAAAAGAAAACTTACAGATATTTTGCCGTTGTCGAGGTCGCTGTTTACGTTCTTCCATGCGCATTGTTTCCAGTTTGACACCGCTGAACTGCCGGGCAGACCAGGTGCTCCTTTCGCTCCCTGTCGCCCTGGAGCGCCGTGCTGGCCTGGTATCCCTGGGTTTCCTGGATTCCCTGGGTATCCTGGGGTACCAGGAGAACATCCGCAACAATGCGAATTACCCTAAAATGAGACAATAGTTTGTTGGACACTTTTTCTGAATTTGAGGCCGAGGAACAAAAACAAGCAATGAAAGTCATCACACCATAGAAATTTATAGGAAAACATCTCAGTTAAGTTTTAGCCCTTTTTGCATGAGAGTTGCTAGCGTGCTACCTCGACCGAAGATCGATTGTCTGTATTTTTTTACCATGAGCAGGGTTATTGTGTTTTGCTTTGATTAGAACAAATTTCAATGTTGAGCAGCAAAAGTAATCTGGGATTTTCCCCTTTTCAACCAATAAGATGTAAAAAAAAAAACTACAGTCGAAGTTCTCTCAACGGACACTCTCGTAAGCAGACAGCTCTACTTACGGCCGCCTTGTTTGAAACCCCGTTTTAACTCCCATACAAACTCTGTATTTTTACATTTTCGTAAGCGGACATTCCCGTAAGCGGCCGCGGACACTTTCAGGGATTACGACTTGAACTTTTTCCTTGTGTTTAAGCTCTCGTAAGCGGACATCTGAGAGAAAATCAACAACCTCCGTACAGTATCTTATTTTTATCAATCAACTATTTTACATTGCCGTTCGTCACAATGATTTTACAGTAATTACAATACCATATTTCAATGTTTGTTTTGTCGTCATCCACGTCCGGTTACATTTCGAAGCATATGCACTATTTTTTTTGTATACCAATATTTATTGTTAGCTGGGCGAGCCCCCTTTAAGAGGCCATCTATCCCCCTACACCTCTAGTGGCCGCTTACGAGAACCATTCTCGTAAGCGGCCAGCTCCAGTTACGGACATTTTTACCCGTTCCGAGGGCATCCGCTTACGAGAGCTTCGACTGTAGTCACAATTCAGTCACTCGCGTTTTCCCACGCTTCAACTAGTTTGCGCATGCCTGTTATCGCTTTGAGTGCTCATTGAATGATGGTGATGTTAACCTCCTTTCTGATTGGCTGTCGTGACTACGTAAACGGAATCTTGTTAGTTACCTTTGGATAGGTTTGTGTCCCGCCCTGGAGATGCAGCAATACATGTCAGTGTAAATAAATGTCAGTCAGTGTAATTTCCGGTAAGAAGACGGACAAGTAAGTCGATTGAAAAACCTCTGTCACGATTTTCGTTTATCTTGGAAAATTGGGCTCTCTGTCCCATTCCTAGTCATCCTCGTTTCTTCCCTCTTCTCCATTTTACGAAAAAATTATCTGTATTTTGCATTGAGTGCATCAGCGCCATTGATCTGTATCTTGCACTGATCTGTATCTTGCACCTCACGTGAAGAGGCGCATATTGTAAGATCAGTGTCGTCAATTTTTGTTGTATAGATCATCGATGTTTTGGGGTCTCAAGTAACGTCAATTGCATGCTAAGAGTAATATGAAGAAGGCACTTGAAGAAGGATTCAAAGGAAAATAAAAATTTACTTACCGACGGTCCCTGTGGGCCCACAGCGACGGTTGAGAAAAACTGGAACTGAACGATCATCAAGAAATTCAGACAAAAAACCAAATGCATAGATACAGACATATCGCTTGGACGTCTTCTTTCGATCCCTGATGAGTTAATTCTTCCACAGAGAGAGGTAGATGCGAGTAAAAATAGTCGAACTCAGCTTTCGACAGATTTATAGCCTCATCGGATCGTCGTGAATTCTCTAATTTCCTTTAAGTCATTCCGGTTGCTTGCTGCTCAGGTCGCAAACGTGCGACCCCCCTTATTAGTGAGACAATAGCGATTGCAGCATGACCAAACGTGCTGAAGATTAAGAATAAATAGGCATAATTCCGCTCATTGTAGCAAATCACGGACTAGACATCTAAGCTTTTAACTACATTTTCCGGTTTCGCTTAGTTGGCAAACGTGATCTCGCAGATGTTCCTATGTCGTTTCTTTCTTTCTTTCTTTCTTTCTTTCTTTCTTTCTTTCTTTCTTTCTTTCTTTCTTTCTTTTTTCTTTTTCTTTTTTCCTGCTGGACTTACAAAAAACATAACACCTAAAGTTTTTTTACAATAACTTGTCAAAACGGCAATTGAGGCATGATCACACGTGCCGATAGATTAAGAATTAGTTGGTATAATTCCGTTCTCTGTACCAAATACGACTAGACATCTAAGCTTTTAACTGCATTTTTCCGGTTTCGCTTAGTTGGCAAACGTGACCTCCACATCGCAAACGTTCCTATGTCGTCTCCTTTTTTTTATTTATTCACTTTTTTTTCTGGAGTTATCAAGATCATATTTCACCTAGAATTTCTCTCAAGAACTTATCAAAAACGGGACTAAGTTTATTTTCCAATATAGATTGTCCCGATCGAGGTCGCTTGCATGAGCGAGTCACCTACACTTGTCTGTCGTAAGGACCAATCATGGAGATTTAAACAAAAATCAAAAAGACTTATAACCGATTCAAATTCTGAATAGTTTACTTCAGGTGCTTCAGCATATAACTGTTTTACAATTTTCAAACTTTTGACTCTGGAACTAAGTTAAAAGCCTAAACGCAGCAATTAGTGGTCGTAAACTTGCAAATCCTATTCATTTTAAAGCTGTGAGAGGAAAAAATGTGTAGAAAGAGACAAGAAATTCAAAGGAAAGATTTCTGAGCCAGTTCTGACAGTTATTGAGGATGCGATTTGATAAGTAGTTTGATGGGATAAGATATAAGAGGTTGCATAACTGAAGAAAATGCTCACCTAAGATGGATAAAACGTTAGAATAAAACAAGAAAATAACTAGAGGTTAGAGGTACGATACGTTTGTGCCAAGAGTAGCACGTTGATTTGAAAACTTCTCACGCACCTATTTCATGCGTCCAAGGAAAATTGAGTTTGGGGAGGCGCAATACGTTGTTGGCGTCAGTAGCATGTGCATTGGAAAATACTTCACATGTTTGTTCATGAATTGTGGCGTTAGTAGCACCAAGAGATCATAATCTCTTGGTAGCGTGTTCTAAGTAAGTTAAAGATTTAAAAAATAAGAAGATTGTATGATTGAAGACAATGCTAAATTTAGGAAGGATAGGATAAAACATAAAAAAAAAGAAATGTCAACTAGAGGTAAGAGGTACGACTTGTTTGTGCCAAGCGTAGCACGTTCATTGGAAAACTTTTCACGCATCTATTTCATGCGTTCGAGATTATGTCAGGAAAATTGAGTTTGGGGAGATGCAACACGTTTTTGGCGTCAGTGGCACGTTCATTTGAAAACTTTTCACACATCTATTTCATGCGTCCGAGATTATGTCGGGAAAAATTGAGATTGGGGAGGTGCAACACGTTTTTGGCGTCAGTAGCATGTGCATTTGAAAAGTTTTCACATATTCGTTCGTGAATTATGGTGTTAGTAGCACCAAGAGATCATAATCTCTTGGTACGTTATAAGTAAGTTAAAGATATAAAAAGTAAGAAGATTGTATGATTGAAGATAATGCCCAATTTAGTAAGGATAAAAAAAAAAAATGTCAACTAGGGGTTAGAGGCGCGACACGTTTGTCCCAAGAGTAGCACGTTCATTGAAAACTTTAATTTTACGCACCTATTTCATGCGTCCGAGATTGTGTCAGGAAATTGAGTGTATGGAGGCACAAACCGTTTTTGGCGTCAGTAGCATGTGCATTTGAAAAGTTTTCACATGTTCGTTCGTGAGTTGTGGTGTTCGTGCCAAGAAATCATAATCTCTTGGTAGCGCGTTATAAGTAAGTTAAAGATGTAAAATTTGTGCCAAGAGTAGCACGTTCATTGAAAACGAAATGTTCACCTATTTCATGCGTCCGAGATTGTGTCAGGAAATTGAGTGTATGGAGGCACAAACCGTTTTTGGCGTCAGTAGCACGTGCATTTGAAAAGTTTTCACATGTTCGTTCGTGAGTTGTGGTGTTCGTGCCAAGAAATCATAATCTCTTGGTAGCGCGTTATAAGTAAGTTAAAGATCTAAAAAGTAAGAAGATTGTATGATTGAAGATAATGCTAAATTTAGTAAGGATAAAACGTGGAAAAAAAGTCAGCTAGAGGTTAGAAGGACGACGCGTGTGTGCCAATAGTAGCACGTTCATTTGAAAACTTTTCACGCACCTATTTCACGCGTCCGAGACTGCGTCAAGAAAATTGAGTTTGGGGAGGTGCAACACGTTTTTAGCGTCAGTAGCATGTACATTTGAAAAGTTTTCGCGTGTTCGTTTGTGAATTGTGGCGTTAGTAGCACCAACAGATCAAAATCTCTTGGTAGCGCGTTATGAGTAAGCTAAAGAAGTATAAATAAAAAGATTAGAAAGATGTTTGTTCGTCTAGTCACGAGCGTGGGATAAAGAAAATAATTCCCTATGAGGAATCGAACCTCAGGCCATCCGATTCTTTACACCGATGCTCTACTACTAAGCCAGATGGACTCTATGGTAAGTAAGGTGTACTACTAAGTTCATATATGACACGCGTCTTGCATACTGCTAAGGTAGCATTCATTATTTATGGGAGGAGGTGGGCTTGCAAGATTTTCAGTGAGACTAAACAAAATATCCTGACCCTGCTCTAAAAGAATATAAAATGTCATGACCCCTCTAGTTGTAATTGCAAAAATAGCTAGCCCCCCTCCCCCATAGGACTAGCAAAGCAGCTAGGTTAAAAGAAGTGAAAAATATCTTGTATTGCGGGTAGTAGAAATGTTCTACAAACCTAAACCCACATTTGTAGATGATATGTAAAAAAAAAAAAAGCCTTTGACCCCCCTACATTATTTCCAAATTTTTCTAATGACCCCTCATTTTAGTTCCTGAATTCATCAGGACCCTCCCTTCCCCCCTCCCCCCCCCCCATTGCTCTTGCCAGTCCTCCCTCCGCCATAAATAATGAAGGCTCCCAAAGATTGGCAAAGTCGAATCGTCATGGTTTGTGAAGAATAATAGAGATGGTAAGTTTTGAGCTCGGAAAAGACGTGTAGAAAGATGGCTCCACAGAGTAGAGTAGGCCTAGCCACAAGTTGCTAATAAATGCCAAAAAACTTGCCGATAAAAGTGTCTAAAAGTTGCCAAAAAGTTGCTATTTTTTTCAAAAAGTTGCCGAAAAGCTGCTGAATTTCCAAAAAGTTGCCAAAATTTTTCTGCTTTTCGTACTTTTTTTGGGTGTTAAAGATTAAAAATTCGCACATTGCTTCTTATCAAAACTTTATTTGTCAAAGTCCAATGATAATATCAGAGGTTCTTTCCATTTCACTTGATCAACAAATAGTCACTGTAATTGTCCGCCATCTTGAAAAACGTGCAACGTTATACCGCTGACCTCGTGATAAGGCATCACAAAAATCAACCCATGGGGGGGCCCTTATTATTGTATTTTAGAATAAATTGAATAAATGTCTATCGAAAACTGACTAATGTGGCTCAAAACGTGAAGAAAGTGGCTTCAAAGAACCTCTAAAAGCCCAAAGTTGCCGAAAATTCTAAAAATTGCCAAAATTCTAAAAAGTTGCCGAAAATCTCAAAAGTTGTCGAAAAGTTGCCGAGCAACTTGTGGCTAAGCCTAGAGTAGAGCACTCTACCACTGTGCCACAGGTAGAGCATCAGAGTGCGGAATCCGAAGGTCTAAGGTTCGATTCCTCATGGGTACTCAGAATTTTTTCTGTCCCACGCTCGTGACAAGACGAAAAAACATCTTTCTACATTTCTTTTCCGAGCTCAGAATTTAAAATCTTTCTTATTCTTTACAAACCATGACGAATCGACTTTGCCGATCTTAGCAGTATGCAAGACGGGTGTTATGTATAAACTTCGTAATGGGCCTTGCTCACCATAGAGTAACCGTAACGCGTTATATGTAAGTTAAAGATGTGAAAAGTGACAAGACTGTATGAATGAAGACAATGTCCAATTTAGGAAGAATAAAACGTAAAAAAAAAAAAATGTCAACTAGAGGTAAGAGGCACAACACGTTCGTGGCGTTAAAAGCACGTTTATTTGAAAATTTTCCGCATGTTCGGTTACAGTGTCAGGAAAGTTGAGTTTAACTTAAGCCTTTTATCAAAGACCACAGAACATTTGAATGGTCGAGTCAACCGGCTAGTGAGGGTCTGGTCAGTCTTATGGGAGGTTGTGTTTAATAGAAAAAAATGAAAAAGTTTCAAGTAACTAGAATGGACGGGTCTCTGCTCAACGTAACGACACGGTATTTGGCGGTAAATTGCCATAATTTGTCGTTTCGACTTAGCTTCTCGTTGAATTTATCAATAACTCCGTGAGACTGGAATCCCTCAGCATTTCCTGTTCCTGTTCTTCTGGTGCTGGGATTCTAACTCGCACAACTATGGCGGTCAGCAACACAAAAACCGCCAACACCAACCATACCAGTCTAGACAGGATTAACCTGCACTTCTCCTTTGACGTCAGCTTGTTTCCATGGACGCTAATACGTGTCTTGGATACGACTGAGCAATCGTGTCGGAAAGGCCCATCCTCGAGAAGGACTAGCTCTTGGTCCGTGTTCATGGCCCTAAGCGGAATGGTATTGAGACTGAGAAGCGACGACGAGCGGTAGATCCAGGACATGACAGGGTTTGATGGATTACTGAATTCTCTTAAGCTGTTGGTGTTGACTGAAAATAGCGACGAGGTTCTGGAGAGCCAGGTAACAATGAGATCTGAGACATAATGGAATTTGAAAAATATAAGCAAGTAAAAAATAATCAGTCTCTTTCCTTCGCACTCCTAACCCTTTCACTTCCATCTATGATATAGATGTCAAATCTGCGCATTGTTTGCCTTAGATTTCTGATGATTTTAGCTCTGAGAATCTAGTGTTCAATCAGAGTTACAGGAAGTCGCCTCTTTATGGAAGAAAACCTTCAAATAAGCGCGGCAGTTGTGAAAGAGTGGAGATATACCTAGCCACAAAGCGAGGAGGATTAAGCACTCACGCGCTATATTTAAAATGCACAGTCACCATACTGCAGCCTCGTTCCCAGGGCCTTTTCTCTAAGTTGGGGGTTAGTTGGGGGTGGAGCGGGAAAAGGCCCTAGGAACGAGGTTGTCCACACTGTTCTTTGTACATTTCCTATGGTATTAGTAGGGAGAATGTGTTTAAAAATCAAGAGCTTGTCATGTTGGTGATCATTTCCTTTATTCTCATAGCTATAATTTTAGATTAAGCGGGCATACTGACAGAATGCAGCAGGCAATAGATAGCAGTCACTCTTATGGGTTTAAGGCTAGAGGACAACGAATATCGATACATATTGCACTTGGCTCTAAAAGAACAAGCTTACTCTCTTCATCTTCTTGTTCAGTTCCAGTGTTCCGACCGAGAGGTGCCTTAGGTAGTTGTCGAGTCAAACTGCGACGGACCTGAAAAGAGACAATACAAAATGCGCCTTTGAATAATCTCGTTCCCAGGGCTATTACCAATTTTCAAGGTAAAAGTCCTGGGAAAGAGGTGAGCCCCTGAAATTGCATAGAAGCGGGAATAGTACAGATCAATTTTATGCGCAATGATGATATAGGGAGGTGGTTGAGGTGACTGGATATATATTAAATGTTCGTAGACAGAGGTATAAATGATTTTAATTTCCGCTTACCTTCCTAACATATAATTCCCAATCTATCCTCCAGATTAAACCAATGAAGAGGAGACACTGGGAGGAAAGAAAATCATTATTATGATCAGAGTTTCCACGGGGCGACAACATCTCTTTTAGTTCAGTTTATGTCAAATTGAATATTCCATTAATTTTGGAATGGGACAATTGAAGAGAAAATATTGGCAGCATTCTACATCGTTATAAATGTCAGCTTTTGGTAAATCATTCTTCTTTCTGTCTACATCTTTCCTCTACTTCCTTGCTTCTTACCCAGATATATTTAAAATTTTCGTTTATCATGACACTTATGACGCCATTTGACGCTGCTGTGAATATATACTGTTCTTGGTTAATTTAATCTATCTAAGCTGACTTTGTAAAGCTTACCTGTAGACTGAGTCCTGTCGTAAGACCCCACCAGAAACCTACCGGATCAAGAGCGAAAAAAAAAAGCGACAAAATTTGGGGAGAAACTAAAGATTGTGGGATCATTATACATTCTTGATTGAGTGTGACAGGTCAAACTTACCTTCAACTTCTTCTTTAAAGACGTAGAAGGCGAAACATGATCCCAAAGGCACGGAAACAAAGAAGTGAAAAAAGAAGTTTAAGAAAACAGCGAGCTTTACACGACCGATACCTCGAATGATGCCACAACATATGACCTCAAAACAAAATTAAATAAAAAGTCTTTCCCAGACAAACGCTCCAGCTGTCACACCGACGAATCCTACTGAATGATTAATGACGTAAATGACATATACGTACAGACAAACAGACACTCCGAAAGACTACATGGACGGATTAGCAGACAGCCACACAGACGGCAACCAAGCGGATGGACTGGCATACAGACACAGAGAGATCGAGAAACTAATGAACATTCTGACTAATTGACCGATCGACAAATAATTCTCCGGCACAATTCCGCCCAGCATGCAGTCGTTCTGCTTTGTTTCCCTTACTTGTAGACTTTGGAAAAATGAAAATCCTGTCATAGCTGGAGTGACTTTTCTGACAAAACTTGCGATAAGCCTGAAAGCCAAACGATGTACAGATGTTTTGTTAAAATACAAAGAAAAATATTGGAAAACATAGCTCCATGACCAGTTGAAGTTAACTTAGATAGATATCGTTAGAAGTTAACTTAGATATAAATTTCACATTCAAACTCTAATTCCAATAGGAAATATTTTCAGTTTACAGTTACATTTAAGCGATTCGACTTGACTGTGATTGTCAAGGCAGAGAAAAACTTAATAGCAAAATACAAACCTGTCGTCTGTGAAGGCTTTCCCGAGATGTTCGTTTAGACCATTGAAAAACACCAACATTACAAAGGAAAAGCAGCCTGGAAAAAAAAGATGACGCAAAAATTCTAATTCCCGGACTCGGCTCTCTGGTCGACCATTGTGGTCATCCAATAGGTAAGTAAACACTGTACCCGAGCTAAGTGGTTCAACCAGTAGCTTATCTCGGTTTCCATAGCGCAAAGTGTCTAGGAGTATTACTGCTCCCCCCTAGATAGGGTGCCAGTCCATCACAAGGTTTACTCCCCCCCCAGCATTTCATCAGGCTTCCCTGATAATTCGCTGGTACCCATTCCTACTCCTGCGTGGAGATAGGCACTGTGAGAGTAAAGTGTCTTGACCGAGCCCAAGGACTGGAGTCCAGAGCACTAGCTATTAAATCTTCGCGTCTTCCAATGATCCATCTGATATACCAACAAAATTTAGGATACTTACTAACTGCCACAAGAGAAACTTTTGCAACGTGTTTTGCTCTGGTGTGGTCACCTCTCCGTAATTCGTTCCTGACTCGATCAGTAACAGCTAACGAAAAACCTACAGCAATCTAAAATAAACGATTACCCCTGTGTTAACAAATTAAACATGGCCCAAGAAGACTTTTAAACCACTCTAGATGGACAACTAAAGTATCGAATTACCCCGCCTCTGAGTGTCTGATTGCAAGGGATTGTAACAACCTAAGGACCAGTGAAGAAGATGAAAATCCACTGCATTCCATGAGTTTGAGAGACATTCTTTATTTATTGCATTTCACACAACTATTTACACAACTTTCATTACAATACTTAACTACTGCACTAAGCATAATAAACAGGACCTACGGTATAACACTGCTAATTCGCATTCATGAGTTTGACAGACATGCTTTGGAAGAGCAGTTTTCAACAAAGTTTTCCGCTTTTGTCCTTGATGCTAGAGCTCTCATATCCCAGAGATTAATCGGGAGCCCAAACTACTCTGGAATTTTTAATAATCTTTTGAACCTAACTATTGGTGAAACTTTGAGACAAATTGGTAAGATAGCGTGTATAACGCCTACTTGGTACTCTCGTAGACAGACTCCTAAGAAAATCCCAGACAATTGAGAACACTTAATTATTTCATAGCGAAACACAGGCAACAGCTTCCTTATGTTATTGTCATGGAAAGTCGCGATTTTACCACGAGTTAAAATCCTGAGTGTAGGCTTTCTTCATTAAAGGACGGCGTTCTGAAGAAATATTTTTCTCCCATTTTGGCATCGAAATTTAGGTATTTTTAGATAAAACATGATCATGCAACAGTAACATTTTGTCCGTGGTTATCACTACATAAATTTGAACATACTCACCATATACACAAAACTTGTAAACTGCATCAATATACCATGGACCGCCAGTTGCTTTTGCCCAAGCGTTCCTGAAAGACACGTTTAATGCGATGACTAATAGAGCAATTTTCAGTTGGGTTTGGAAGACCCAAAACGAAGTGATTGATTCACTGAGAAGGTGTGCCGGGCGGGGGGGGAGGGTTTCTGGACTAATTACGGAGCGAAGTTTTGCAAAACCAAAGAAATCATGGATGACTTTCCTCACTCAGTTGAAAACGGATCTATTTCTTCAAGTTATGAATTAGGCAAGGGACTTCTGCGTTATTAAGGTCAATTTATTGCAAGAAACTCACTACAGGTAAAATAAAAACATTCTTAGAATTTCCGTTGAGAACAACATTTCACGGGCGATTGTCCTATGAATTTCAGAAACGGAATTTTTTTTTCTCCTGGTGGAAACAATTGAGAAACCATACACTCTCTGTGACCGGTTCATTCCTTTTTTTCACCATCAAAATTTAAGAAACACTCGATAAACTTCCTAGTTTTTTGTTTTGTTTTTTTTTTTTTTTAATCGCTAAGGGAGGAATTAATAGTCAAATTTTGTTACCTTTTGCACTGTATCATTTGACCACTTCAGAAACAAGGTGTACAGTTGTAAACTGGCAGATCGAATTGGGCAACTTCGCTACTATAACAACCAGAAGCGACCAGATCCGAGCATTTTGATATGGAAGAATAGAAATTCTGTGCTTTTCGTACACTGAAGATAAATACTCACCCATAAGAAAAATCCCCACAACAAAGCTCCACCATTCATTACATAGCATAAGTATACCTGGTGCAGCCAACATGATGAACTGACCCCACTGCTGCAGGCTTTCTCTGGTCCAGCCTTGTCAATAATCAAAAGTTTGGAGTTACAAGGATGTAGAAATTCGAATGAAATTATCTTGGTGTCTTCATGTGAATTTAATGGACTTTAGAACCCTTTTTGAGTAATTCTTTGATAACGCAAACGAAACAATTTTCACTGAAGAGAAATCTTGCAATTACACTCACGGTAGTCATATCATTGGACCAGTTAAATTCTTTCCTTACACAAATTTTTTGCGTCGATCCTTTTAATTTAGTNGCTTAATCCTCCTCGCTTTGTGGCTAGGTATATCTCCACTCTTTCACAACTGCCGCGCTTATTTGAAGGTTTTCTTCCATAAAGAGGCGACTTCCTGTAACTCTGATTGAACACTAGATTCTCAGAGCTAAAATCATCAGAAATCTAAGGCAAACAATGCGCAGATTTGACATCTATATCATAGATGGAAGTGAAAGGGTTAGGAGTGCGAAGGAAAGAGACTGATTATTTTTTACTTGCTTATATTTTTCAAATTCCATTATGTCTCAGATCTCATTGTTACCTGGCTCTCCAGAACCTCGTCGCTATTTTCAGTCAACACCAACAGCTTAAGAGAATTCAGTAATCCATCAAACCCTGTCATGTCCTGGATCTACCGCTCGTCGTCGCTTCTCAGTCTCAATACCATTCCGCTTAGGGCCATGAACACGGACCAAGAGCTAGTCCTTCTCGAGGATGGGCCTTTCCGACACGATTGCTCAGTCGTATCCAAGACACGTATTAGCGTCCATGGAAACAAGCTGACGTCAAAGGAGAAGTGCAGGTTAATCCTGTCTAGACTGGTATGGTTGGTGTTGGCGGTTTTTGTGTTGCTGACCGCCATAGTTGTGCGAGTTAGAATCCCAGCACCAGAAGAACAGGAACAGGAAATGCTGAGGGATTCCAGTCTCACGGAGTTATTGATAAATTCAACGAGAAGCTAAGTCGAAACGACAAATTATGGCAATTTACCGCCAAATACCGTGTCGTTACGTTGAGCAGAGACCCGTCCATTCTAGTTACTTGAAACTTTTTCATTTTTTTCTATTAAACACAACCTCCCATAAGACTGACCAGACCCTCACTAGCCGGTTGACTCGACCATTCAAATGTTCTGTGGTCTTTGATAAAAGGCTTAAGTTAAACTCAACTTTCCTGACACTGTAACCGAACATGCGGAAAATTTTCAAATAAACGTGCTTTTAACGCCACGAACGTGTTGTGCCTCTTACCTCTAGTTGACATTTTTTTTTTTTTACGTTTTATTCTTCCTAAATTGGACATTGTCTTCATTCATACAGTCTTGTCACTTTTCACATCTTTAACTTACATATAACGCGTTACGGTTACTCTATGGTGAGCAAGGCCCATTACGAAGTTTATACATAACACCCGTCTTGCATACTGCTAAGATCGGCAAAGTCGATTCGTCATGGTTTGTAAAGAATAAGAAAGATTTTAAATTCTGAGCTCGGAAAAGAAATGTAGAAAGATGTTTTTTCGTCTTGTCACGAGCGTGGGACAGAAAAAATTCTGAGTACCCATGAGGAATCGAACCTTAGACCTTCGGATTCCGCACTCTGATGCTCTACCTGTGGCACAGTGGTAGAGTGCTCTACTCTAGGCTTAGCCACAAGTTGCTCGGCAACTTTTCGACAACTTTTGAGATTTTCGGCAACTTTTTAGAATTTTGGCAATTTTTAGAATTTTCGGCAACTTTGGGCTTTTAGAGGTTCTTTGAAGCCACTTTCTTCACGTTTTGAGCCACATTAGTCAGTTTTCGATAGACATTTATTCAATTTATTCTAAAATACAATAATAAGGGCCCCCCCATGGGTTGATTTTTGTGATGCCTTATCACGAGGTCAGCGGTATCACGTTGCACGTTTTTCAAGATGGCGGACAATTACAGTGACTATTTGTTGATCAAGTGAAATGGAAAGAACCTCTGATATTATCATTGGACTTTGACAAATAAAGTTTTGATAAGAAGCAATGTGCGAATTTTTTATCTTTAACACCCAAAAAGGTACGAAAAGCAGAAAAATTTTGGCAACTTTTCGGCAACTTTTTGGAAATTCAGCAGCTTTTCAGCAACTTTTTGAAAAAAATAGCAACTTTTTGGCAACTTTTAGACTCTTTCATCGGCAACTTTTTTGGGAATCATCGGCAACTTGTGGCTAGGCCTAGGCTGGAGTGTATAATTCTATCGCGATAAAATACCCCATTTTGTCCACAGATAATTAAGATGGGCCCTAAAGAACAGTCTACAGACAAGTTATTATTCCGCAGGTCCTCTTTTACCTTTTATAATAACATTGATAACAGATCGCAAGTAAAACTAATGTTAATTACTCGGAGAATTTCACAACAGTTGATATACCATTACGATAGTCGCTTTCCTACCTTCTGACGGCCAGGTTCTCTGGTAAAGCTTTGAGCAAAAGAGGTAAAGAAATGAGGAGACACCAAGAAACAGACAATGTGTCAGGCTTGATGCCAGGGCCACGCCCCTAAAAAAGAATGTAGTACCAGATATTTAAGACCTGTGGGAGAAAGAATCTCCACCATGAGACCATGATTAATGTTAAGGCTTACAGGAAACCAATTTTCAATCCATGAATCAAGATAAAGTTGATCCCAAGGTGCAAAATATTTGCCATAGAAACGATGTAAATCATGGGCTTGAAAACACCCTGCAAAAATTAAAGAGAAAAACACGGTGAAATGACGGGAAGGTGGTGCTCTCTAATAGAAAAAAAAGTTAGTTTCAAAAAAATTTGGTTCCACCTATTCTAGCTCACCTGTATCTGGAGATATCTCTGAATCAAAGCGAACGCAAAATCTGCCTGAAAATAAACGAATAAACCGTTATTTTAATGTCGTACTTTAGTCGTCTATTTCATTACTTTCGCAAATGATAATGGTCATGTTCTCCTCCCTTTTTTAAGAAAAGATCTTCTTGTATGAAAATTACCGTGAAGCAGCTAAGCGCCTTAAGATTTGGTGTCTTGAAAATTTGAAATATCATCACTATCAGTTACTAATCCATGAGCACGTGTTGGATTTGACCTGTTAAGTAACCATCGAGGTTCGCTGAGCAGAGTTGGTAACAAACAATCTCCTTGCCACTTAATAATTTGGATGTATCAACAAAGTTGAAATGGTAAATTGGCCACCGTAACGATTACAAAAGCTGACGTTTCGAGCGTTAGCCCTTCGTCGGAGCGAATAGAGGAATTGTGGGTTGTGTGTGCTTTTAAAGGCAGAAAATGGAGCTACGTTATTGGTGGGAACATGGCAACGAGAAAAACA